CAACTAACCAGCCGAACGCTTTCCGCGCGGATGGGAGGATTCAAGTAGGTGGTAAAGTCATTCTTGTCGCTTTCCAAAAAGACGATCATTATATTAGGGGCATTTTACAATACCCACGCCAAAGCTACGCCTCCGACCAGCCCTGCAACTCCTACGAAGACCAACTCACTATCTTTTTGTTTCTTAGAAGGCTGGTAGTAATTATTAAAGTCAGGCTTCTTTAACGCCACTGTAGGATGCGCTTTCGCATAGAGCTTAAAGGCGTAGTCTGTGTTTTCGAAGTTCTTATCCGCCTGCATCTTGTCTTGGTAATTCTTATCCAACCAATCCCTGTAGGCTTGTCTCTTCTTATTCCAAGCCTCCACATCCCTTTGATATTTCTCCAGCGCTAAGTCGTGCCTTTTCCTTTCGGCGTTAGATTCTGCGTTTTTATCACCGCTAACTAATCTATCCAGATATCTACCACCATAATTAGCTCCGGTGAATGCTAAAGCTGCAATAACTCCACCTGCGACTAAGCTAACCATTATACATTAGGTATGTACTTTTCCTTCTGTAGGTAATCCTTTAGCACGATAGCCCCACCAACGGCAGCGGTCATCTTAGCAAAACCAGCGAAGCTCTTGCTTGGGTCTTCAGTAAAGTCTTCTTTGAGCACTTTCTTACCTACCCAACCAATACCCGCAACAATGGAAGTAATAATAGCTGCTTCTTCAACAGTTTTCAACAACGCGGTTGACATTATATTACAGAGTGAGAAGGTTATTCCATTTCAGGGATGTTGCTCCTTCGGACGACGGGTTCCACGTGATATGTTGGGGTCTTTACTTCTGGCTTCGTATTCCGCCATTGTAAGTAGAGGCTGCCTGCTGCTATGGTAATTCCTAACGCGCCGATGAAATAGCCGGGATTCCAAGAGGATTCCTCCACCTTTTCTTCTTTTTTGGCTTTATTCTTCCTGTTCATCTCTGCGAGCTTCTTTCCGGCAGCGACTCTGCCTGCAGATTTAGCCTTGGTAATCTTCTGCTCGGGCTGCTCCTCTGTCTTTGACGCTTCACTCATTTTATATCTAAGGACTTGAAGGACTTGATAAGTACTTGACTAAGTACTTAAGGATGACTTGACTAAGTACTTAAGGATGACTTGACTAAGTACTTAAGCTGACCTGGGTGATTCCCGCGAATGACCTGACAAGTCACTTGCAGGTACTTCAGCAAGTGCTGCCTGGAAGACCTTTTCGACTTCTCTGTCCTTCTTGAAGTCCTTCCAAGACACCAGTACCTCCTTCAAGTCGACGTGCTGAGCTACGTGAAGTGCCGCAGAGGCGACTGCCATTAACTTACCGCACTTCAAAGACAACCACCCGCAGGTTA